TATATATATATATATATATATATATATATATATATATATATATATATATATATAAAATACACGTATATATAACGTGTTAAAAATTCGGCGCCTTTTTTGCTCTATTCGCTCCCCCTACAATGGAAACCTGGATACGCCTCTGCTCGGACTGTGTGTTCTTATACGTCTGACGTAGAAACGTGTGTAGGATGTGGTTGCTGCGTGCTCTATGACGTACAGAGTAGATAATGTTTGTTGTTAGCGTGTCGTCGATTGAGTGTTTCTTACATGCTTAACAGTGAGTAAAATAGGTTATAATGTTGAACCTTAACTTGTAAACTTACATTGCAGTTTTGATGGTGTGTACAGAGAATAAATGCATATACATGTACTGTTTATAGACTATTACATATAGATAATAGAGAATAATATATAGATATAGATATAGATATAGATATAGATATAGATATAGATATAGATATAGATATAGATATAGATATAGATATAGATATAGAAGTACATGTATATGTAGATGTACATATAGATATAAAGATAAAGATGATATAGATATCAGTGTTTCTTACTGACTTTTTTCTCGGGGGGGGGGACATTTCCCGGGGTGGGAAGGTCACTGGTAAAAGTATGTTTTCTATATACATTCCATTTCGTTTTGGGAGGGGGGTGGGAGGTAGACTTTTTTCGCAGAGCCCCCCCTCCCCCAAGAGATGCCTGGAAGAAACTCTGATAGATATAGATTTACACATACACATACAATTATATATATATTATAGATATACATATAGATATAGAGATTGAGATGCATATGTAGATGAAGATAAAAATGTAGATACAAATACAGATCATAAATCCTAGTTGATATAGATGTAGATGCCGTTGTGGACGTGGACGTAGATATTAGACATAGACGCAGATGCTAACAGATATATGCGTGTATATTGAAAATGTAGGCCTATATGTATAGTATAGTATAGGCAGTAGCATCACAAGAGGGGGGTGCAGTCCGGTTGAAACCATTAAGGGCTGATTACTCCAAATTACTGTCGATAGAGTGTTTCTTCCTGTTAAATAACAAAATAGCAGGGGAGAGGGGTGACACCAAACAAACAAAATTTTGGAGGGGGTGGAGTGACATCCTCAGTTAACTGGCGACACTCGACCTACTATCGCCACTTCTGTATGTGTGTATGTATGCTTACGCGTAAGTGCAGATGCAGATTAAAAACTATGCGTCTATGTTTGAGTATAGTTATATGTATGGGTACATGGGATGATAATTATAAATTTTACAAACAATATAAAATCAGAATTTGGAATAATAGTAACAAAATTCACCAACCGAAATCTCCTTTAAGCTAAATAAACCATACCTTCATAAACCTGCTCAATCTACATCAACTGAAGAGGAAGTAAACTCTCATTTCGTTAATTAATTAATCCGGTATGTTCTTGCTAATACCTAGCCGTTGACGGTAGATTTTGATAAGCCTTAAAAAAACAACCTTGAACTTATCTGATCAACAACTGCAGTCGTTAGGGTAATTAATTAAATAACATTTGTGACGCGTATTTGACTTCGTTAAGCTTCAAGCCTGATGCCAATGGGTGCACTGGCTTTACCCAAGCTTCCCCCCCCCCCAAACAAATGGAATTAATATACATGTGTAGGTCAAATTATAATCCGTTTACAGGCCAAATAATAATCCTGATACAAGCTAAATAATAAACATATTGCAAACAAAATAATAAAACCTGTTTATGGCCAAATTATAGATTAATTGCAGGCCAAATAATAAACCTGTTGCTGGCCGAATAATAGACTAGTTGCTGGCCAAATAATAGATCAATTGCAGGCCAAATAATAACATTTTGTTGGCCAAATAATAAACATGTTACAGACCAGACCTCAAATCTGTATAACGCCGTGTGATTACTGCAATCTGTAATGGTATTGTAATGTAAAGCTTGTTCAGTGGTATAACTTATACCTATAACGAGCTAATCATTCTTTAAACACGATAGTCTTCAAGTTATTCGTAAACATTGATATAGAATTTCATGAAATAAATCACCGTAAGAAGCATTGATTGTGAACTTAACTATGTTCGTAGGTTGTTGCTTTTTTTTTTAAAAATTATTTCAGGTTCAACATAAGTTTTTCTGTTATATTATGATGAAATATTTCCATCAAAACGTATTTCTACATCGCATCACCAGTTTAAAAAACTAGTGTGGTAGGGTTACATCTTACTAGAAAAAGCCGCAATGTCTGAGCTAAAATGTAGTCTTTATTTGATAAGCTTTATAAGCTGAGGATGCCGCATCCCGTCCATTAGACCAACCATTTGAAACTCTCTATCTCCCCTTTCATCTAATGTAATCCCAGTTTTTAAATGGTCAGAAAAATGTTGGGTTACCTGCGGCTATAAACCACTTCTGCTGCATATTTCAATAAATAAATTATTTGTAGGCCTACATATTATGTTTTTATATATATATATATATATATATATATATATATATATATATATATATATATATATATATATATATATATATATACATATATGAATGTTTGTATGTGTATTGTTGTGTTTGTTCATTATGTAAGTGTCTAAATAGATTTTTATAGATGTATACGTAGTGCTATCTATTCTTCTTCTGCGTTCTTAATTTCCTTCATATTGGAGTATTCAAATAAGTTCAACTTCGTGTATGAACTGAACTGGTGCCTCCAGATCTGCTGGTGCCCCATAAAGTTTTTCCTTGAGTGGGGGGTATATATATATATATGCATATATACAAATATACAAATACCTATATATTCTAAGATCTCTCATGCATGAGAACAGCCCCACTTAAAGAGTGTAAAGAGATTAAGTCACGTGGTGATGGGTTTAACCGGCTATTAACAGTGATGGACATACATTTATGTGACGCCCCAAGTTGTAGCCCTTCATTTAAACATCAGGTCTAGTACTTTACCTTACATCAACGGCTTACATAGCCGTACACTTGGGTAATGGGATACTTACAGGGTGCTTAGAGTAATCCGATATTGATTATAGCATACAACTTTAATTAATTAAGGTAAGCCTCAAATTCTGGAACTTATGTTTATATTTTTACCCGATGTTGTTGCTAAAAATTAGATTAAAAATAATTACATTATTTATAAACTGGTTCCGTATCTTCTTCAGTAAGTTTACATTTTCAACTACTGTAATTGTTTAAATCATTGTCTTTAACAGAAGAGATTTTACAGTTATTTTTGTCACTCTAGAGTAGAATTGTATTTTTTTTTTACGTTTACTCCGACGAACGGCATCTGAACTTCATTCTTTGTGTTTGTTTCTTGCCGCTTTATACACCCCCTGTGTATTTTATTTTTATTGACTTGACATCAAATTTTATGGCCTGATTATCGATCGCTGTAATCTTAACAACCGGCTTTGCGCTGAGCAAGCGTTGTAACCGGCGTGGTTGTTGTGTAGCGCTTATGGTTGTTGACCCGATAGTCACTGGTTCGATTTCATGGGTCGAGTTCGCTGGACATCATTGCGTCATGTCAATTTTGATTGGATACCTGAAACAAGTATGGGGGAAAGTAAGGACTGCTGATAAGTTGGGGGAAAGTTAAGACTGCTGGTAAAGTTAGGGGAAAGTTAGGATTGCTGGTAAAGTTGGGGGAAAGTTAGGACTGCTGGTAAAATTAGGGGAAAGTTGGGACTGCTGGTAAAGTTGGGGGAAAGTTGAGACTGCTGGTAAAGTTAGGGGAAAGTTAGGACTGCTGGCCAAGTTGTGGGGAAATTTAGGACTGTTGGTAAAGTTGGGGGAAAGTTAAGACTGCTGGTCAATTAAAGGACTGCTGGTCAAGTTGTGGGGAAATTTAGGACTGTTGGTAAAGTTGGGGGAAAGTTATGACTGCTGGTCTAGTTGTTTTTCGCAATATACTATCTAATGTCCTGGTCACATGTCCAGTTTGATTCTACTTTACCTGTAAATTGTAACAAAATAAGCGGTTTATTTAATTTTACTGACTGTGTGATCAGCTATGTGATACAAAACTGGATATATTGATTTTTCACTTTTGACATTAAAAAAATCGATATCGACAAAAACAATTAAACTAACCGAAAACTTTGTCCTAACGCTAACCCCATCTTTAGTACCGATCATATAAACAGGTGACTCTGATGTAAATAGACAATCCCTAGGAAAAGTACATTTCTACTTTCCCGTATACAGAGTATAGAGGAAGTATTGTAATCGTGCACAAAAATACATGGAATTTTGACAGTTTTCACACCTCAGTACTTCATCATATACTAAGTATAGGGTACTTATAATAAATATGAATTTATAAAGTACTAATATTCCGCACTATTATACAGATATTGTTTGTCATTCACTTGGTGCGAAATTCTTTTTTTCTACGAACTTGTATTCTATTTTAAAACTTAAGTAATTAAAAATGGATTAAAATCATGTCTCAATCCCGATTTGTCATCCCCCATAGTGTTATATAAGAATATTCGACAAAGTTTAGGGGAGATCACTCCCGCTTTATTTACTGACATGACAACAACAACAACAACAAACAGTACCCTTTCGGACTTGGTAGTCAATTGGGCAGGTAAACTAGAGTTAACCTGTTTCTGTTTCCTTGGTAGTCAATTGGGGCAGGTGAACTAGAGTTAACCTGTTTCTGTTTCCTTGGTAGTCAATTGGGCAAGTGAACTAGAGTTTACCTGTTTCTGTTTCCTCAGCATATGAAATGACGTGTGGTCGTATATATGTCTAACCTGATTTACTTAACGTCAGTCTGGTATCTATCTGAGCGTAGTGGACTCAAGATAGCTCTACGGGTTAAATCCAGGGATCCTAATTTGAGATCTTCGTGTTAGCAATGGTAGGCTCTACCCCCCGACCACGCCGTCCCATATTGGCAAAACATAAATAATGTTGATATTTTTTCTTTCTCTTTCAGATTTGATGTTTCTTGATACGAAGAACATACAAGCCTAGACAACACAAGTCAACGTCATTACCACACCGACAATGTATCTACCCACCCTTGTTATATCTTGTATCACGCTTATCCTGAGTATCCCTTACTCACTATCTATCACCATTGATAAAACCAGTGCACTCGTTGCATCGGAGACGCTAATCCGACGCTACTCAACGCAAGGGGCGGATAACGCCGGATTAACGCCGGAAGAGTTCTCCGTGTTCTTGACCAAGATGACGTCACACTCGCCGGAGTTCATTGACAAGCTAGTCGGAGACTGCAAGCGTCCGGATAAGAACTGTAGCTGGAAAGAAGAGGTGAAGTAAAAATGTATGTCACGTTCAGCATGTCGGTAGTGCACGCTGAAGATGTTTGTGAAGAAGTGTTGTGTTTCTACACTGTGGTAGTGCTGTAGGTGGTGATGTAGCTCTGTATTGTAGGTGATGTTGTAGTTTTACACTGTAGGTAATGCTGTAGTTCAGTACTGTAGGCGATGCTGTAGTTCTTCACCAAAGGTCGATGTTGTAGTTCTGCATCGTAGTTTGATGTTGTAGTTCTGTACTGTAGGTCGATGATGTAGCTCTGCACCGTATGTGATACTGTATGTGATATTGTAGCTTTGGTGCGCAATGTATGGATTATGTACAATGAATGTTAGACGATAGCTGGTGTTAAAATCATCACACAAAAAAATAACACCTGTGGCCAATTGAAAATGTATATTATATGTATCCTTGGCGTAAAGTGTGTGTGGGGGGGGGGGGGTAAATTCAACATAACAGGACGAAGGTGCTTAAGAGGAGCAGGTTTTGCAAGCTATTTTTGGGGAGGGGGGGTGTAGATTTTTTATAGTTGTCTTAAGGGGGGGGGTATAAAAGCTGTATCAAGATGCGCAGAATTTTATAAGCTGTTTTAAGGGATGTAAGAAATCTGTCTTTAGTTTAGGGTTACAACAACTATCTTAAGGGGCGTCTATAAATTTTTATTATAAGGCTGTTTTTAGAGGTGTGAATTTAAGAAATATGACTTTAGTGTTATATAACTATTTTAAGGGGTGCAGGGTTATAACAGCTTTCATAAGAGGTGCGGCTTTGTTTAAAAAAAAAACAAGAAAGTTAAAAAAAAAAATAAAGATAATGATCTGAAGTAATGAGCATTAAACGGTTGACATTTAAAGGGGGCGAGTTAACCAAATATAGTACATAGCAGAGGGCGTCACTTTTGCTTCGCATTGAATAGAAAGAGATTTTTTGCGTTGAATGTTCATGTGCATGGACAGCGAAAAACGTGTGAGTGAGAGAGCAAGAGAGGTCGACCGAGCAAACGTTAAATCAAATTGTAATGACATCTTGCAAACCGAGCGCTGATGGCACCATCTGGAAACACGAATGGAACTTCGTACATGAAAACGATTTATTTTTCTTTTTTTGCTAGTTAAAAGTTTTAATATAAAAACTGATAAAGTACCTTAGAATATTGATATTATTCATCAACGAAAAGACCTGACATTTTAAGCCTTTTTGAAAGTAGGAAATATTATACGGTAACTTACGTAAATGTTATCTATCCGTCCTTCACCCCCTGCCTTAATACACAATTCCAGCCTCCCCCCTTCCCCTTGCGATAAAGATAATACAGTTTTGTTATCATTGTTTAAATGATGGCATCTGGACAAATGTCTGACTTCACGAATAATTTGGCCGAATTTCCTTCCATAAAGCTTATCCGTGTTGTTATAGATCGATATAGTAAACCCCTTCAAAAAAATTATTTTCATAGCTGAAAAAGAAGGTTACGTATCTTTACAAAACTATCTGAATCAAAAGTAAATTTCAAAAACAAAAAACCAGGTTGACGATGTCAATGTTTCTAAAACTGCTAAAGGACGACACCAAGATTTATCGAACTTCACACTTATAGACACAGATTTGATTTTCGCACTGTTTTATAACCTGACTTTGAGACTCGTCTATGTATGTTATATTAGGTTTTATAACCTGACTTAGAGACTGGTCTATGTATGTTCTATTAGGCTTTGTGACCTCGATCTGATTGAAACCTGCTCCAGGCAGTGTAGGATTTACCTGTCTATGGCTGTCATAACTGTGATTACCTTGCATCTATGTTGTGTCTAATATGCAAGGGCCGTAGCCTAAGTGTCCAAATGGAAAACAAACACACACATACTTATATATATATATATATATATATATATATATATATATATATATATATATATATATATATATATATATATATATATACATTATTATTATTATGTATATATATTTATAAATTTATTTATATATATATGTATATATATGTATATATATGTATATATTTATATATGTATATATACCTATATATGTTCTGGATTGTGAGTATACGTTGTGAATCTCTTCCCTTACCAACCTTATGAATAGGTCTGCTAGCCACTAGTTATCATTTTACAACAGTCATCGGCTTTGATCTTTACATCATAATTGTTACAATAGTTTTCTTAAAACCATATGTCGTGAAAAAAGTGTAACACTTATATGTTCAACAAAAAAAAAACTATGAACATCCCTGATGTTGTCAGATAAAAGCAGGGATCTTTCTTTAAGCTCAGATAAGTCAAGAGACTAAATCTCTCTTTAAAAAAGGATTAAACTACCTCAGTACTGTATATGTTTGGTTAAGTACATTATTAAACTACTAAGTGATAAGGGCAGACACATCTGTGTTAAATGCCAAGTGTATGTTTATATGTATATATATATATATATATATATATATATATATATATATATATATATATATATATATATATATATATATATATATATATATATATATATATATATATATATATATATATATATATATATATATATATATATATTCACGTTGCAAACGAACTGACTTGACCCTTCACCCTTATTATCTTTCTTCAACTCATTAAAATACAATATTTGTTCTGCTACTCTGTTTGTCCCGATAATTTTCTTCTCCTAAAGGTCAAAGTCCAGCCGGAATTTTGAAAACTAAAACGCGAATAAGCAAAACGGTGGTTGTGTTGTCAGCGAAAGGTTAGGCCGGCTGTTTACAGGGTGAACTCTTGTTGGCTCACATTGTCACAGATTTCTGTCCTAATTTTTAACGGTCGGGGACGGCGGTGGTAGGACGGAGAGAAATTTGAAAGAAGTCATTTCGGGGTCGACCGGAAACTGGTACTAAAATTTTGTTTTTGGGTCAAGGAAGAAATGGATAAGTGTGCGGCTAAAGTTGATTTAAAACGGGACAAGACAAACAGGTTGACGCTAACGTGAGATAAGGATTAAACATCCCATTCCGGAATGGCTCGATTTTTTTTTGTTATTTACTGTTCGATACTGCAAGTGCTTGAAATGGGTGATTTATGACGGTAAAGTAGAAACGAAGGTTCTTATCAAAAACGGATATCCCCACTCAGTGACGTATGCAACAGTAGGTTAAAAAGAACTTGGAGCTCCCCCCCCCCCCCCACCCCCACCCCCCCCCCCCCCCCCCGTCCGATTCCATTGACCCCCACACCGAAAGATGTCTTATGTTTACATGTCCATAAATAAAAAACGTAATCTCACATTCTTATACCACACACACACGCTCACACACATGAACCCAGAAACTCAAACACTCACACACTCATATAACCACATACATATATATATATATATATATATATGTGTGTGTGTGTGTGTATATTATATATACACTAGGCATGCTGCCCAGCTTCGCTTAGGCTTTCGAAAACATTGAGAATTTGAATGCTTAATTAATTTGCCCATATAAGGCGCCGGTCAGTCGAGGTCAGTTTTGACCCCCTCATCGTAGACTTTTCGGCCAACCGGCCCCCGTGTTCTGTCGCCCCAAGGTCCTGCCAAATTTGAAGCGCCTGCGGCGCCGGGAAGTGCCCTATCGGGCACCCGAGAACTTAGCTTTATAGATCATCTAGATATAGATCTAGAATCTCTAGATCTATATGATCTAGAATCTCTAGATCTAGATGATCTAGAACATCTAGATCTAGATCAATATCTAGATCTAGAATCTCTAGATCTAGAATCCAAATAGATAAAATAATTTTTTTAAGTTTAGGCCGAGAAAATCGTATTGTATAGGCCTACATTTCATAGCGTACATAGCTCTAAATCATATTTGAATGAAATAGTTCATTTCCTTTTATTCTAAACTCGGAAGATGACGTCATCAGTTTCGTGCTCTTTTTTTAGTGTAAACAATAAGCGACGTCATTGTTAAATGCGTATCTTGTCCCAAGTTTAAACACTTTTCCGGTTGCATAAATAATACTGTTTCTCTACATTCGAATACGCCTTTATTTTTTATTTTTCTTCTTTAAATAAAATTGTGGTTATACATTTAAAACATCTAACATATGATTTTTTTAACAAAAGTCCGTATAAAGGTATCCATATATCGCTGCCGATTCTGACGTGATGTCCGGCGAAAATATTTTGCGGACAGACAGAGAGAGAGAGAGAGAGAGAGAGAGAGAGAGAGAGAAGAGCGCACATGGCTTTTTATATATTAGGATAGGTTTATATATATATATATATATATATATATATATATATATATATATATATGTATATATATATATGAATCATATATATATAATCCCATAACACATTTACATTTATATATATGTATATGTATATATATATATATATATATATATATATATATATATATATATATATATATATATATATATATATATATATATATATATATGTATATACATTTAAACATAACTGTATTAATTTCTTTACAACATTTAAAGTTAGGTACAAGTTTTATTACCATTTTGACACCTGTTGCTGTGTTTGTTATTCAACAGCGCTTTAATCAAATGCATTATTTCATTCGAATCTTTTGTCCCATCGAGTGTAGCCCACGTTCTGGGTTTTGTATTAATGTGGCGTGATACGGGCATGTTAATCAGTTTCATTATCATTTCGCAACAAGTTTTTGAATACAATAAAACGCGGCGCAAATTCAAAATAGTTGGGTGCAGCGAGCTGGTTTATACGGGCTTTATGTTTGTCATCATGAAAAGGTCTCACTAGGGTTTCATTTACAACCCCAGCTGTGTGAACCAAGTTTTGTTTTAATTAGTTCTAACTTGATTTCTAATTTGTGTAGGGCTTTGATCCTTTGCTCCTGCGTCCGCTCAGCTCTGATGGGTACCTAACTCACCCTAGGTAAACCACGGCGTTTGGCCACACTGCCCCTTTATATCTCGAGGTCATTGAAACAGATTAACTCTACTTCATCTATCCCACGTGATGGTTACGAACATAAAATTATAATGATGATTGATTAGCTCCTATATGATACCCCGATCCATTGGCATTGAGGTTAAGAGCAAGTGGCCAACTAATCTTTATGCTGAATTCGGATTTTAAATTCCTTTTTCAAGTCTCGATTTGCTTTTCTCATTTTTTGTCCTAACATCAGCGACTAAGCACCTGTTGTCATCTAGAGACCTTTCCAGGCAAACAACCCTCACCATAAAGCACCAGCAACGTTAACATCCCTCACCATCAAGTACGATTAAAGTCAAAACCATCAATCACCCTCAACTTTAACACCCCTCACTATCAACTTCAACACCTCTCACCATCAACTTCAACACTCCTAACCATCTAGCATACCTCTCAACAAGAAGCATCTCACTAACCTTCTACCCCTCACCCCACCCCCCTAAACAAATGCATATTGAACAAAGGAACTGCAGCACAAACTACCATTATTGTTACCCCACCATTGTTACACCACCATTACTATACAACCATTGTTATACCACCATTGCTAGGCAGCAATTATCGGGCCTCCATGGTTAAGCCACCATTATAGGCGTGGCCTGATATCTATTACGTTTTACATCACTCCCTCATTAGCATATTCAAATGACGTCGACAGTCGAGCTAACCATCATACCAACACCTGTGATAATTCAACTTACAGTAGGTGACAGGAAATGGACTCCTAGAGAACTTCATCAGAGGCTTATCCTGTTCTTTTTATCTTAAATTTAAGTATACCTATAGTAAGCAAATGAAGTACAATGCACTCTATTATTATGGCCGCCGTGTGTGCTACGTAGTACTTAGTTTTAATATGTTTTCGAGCTCACTTCCTAAAAGACATTTTATTCACCTTGGACGTTGTCCTTAAGACCCCTCAGCAAACTGGTCAACATTTTATCTCGTTATAACTTCTCAAAACACTTTCCAGTCTTGATGGCCTTTGTCCTTTAGACCGCTAATGAAACTGCAAAAAGTCAAATCAAATAACTTCCAAAACATCGTCCATTATTTATGTGGGTCTTCCTTTATCCCTGTATCTCTTATACAAGTGCGACACCCTATATCCTGCATACATTACTTTTTCCATTGTATGTAATGACTTCGCTTTTTGCAACTCTCAGTTCGAAATATAGCGGCATGCTTTTAATACACTATTTTAAAAAAATATGTTTACCTATTGCATATAATTTTTTTCTAGCAGAACCTATGACTTTTTTCCGTGACTTTTTTTCTCCAATATGCAATTCATATCGGTTCATAGAACTCTATGTATATCAACTCAATTTCAAGCTTGGGCAAATGTTGGATTTGTAAAACATAATCCCAATTATACTTTAAGAACATAATCGTAACTGAACTAGAATAAATCTATGTCGAAACATAATCCTTACTGAATTACAGTAATCTATGTAAAAACATTATCCTAACTGAGCTGCAGCAATCTATGTCACAACTTTTTTCCTAACTGAACTACAGTAATATAATAATATGTCAAAACATAATCCTAACTTAACTACAATAATCTATGTAAAAACATTATCCTAAATGAACTACTGTAATCTATGTAAAAACATCACCCTAACTGAACTACAGTAATCTATGTAAAAACATAATCCAAACTGAACTAGAATTAATATGTGTCGAAACATAATCCTAACTGAACTACAGTAACCTATATCAAAACATAATCCTAACTGAACTACTGTAATCTATATCAAAACATAATCCTAACTGAACTACTGCGATCTATATCAAAACATAATCCTAACTGAACTACTGCAATCTATATCAAAACATAATCCTAACTGAACTACGGTAATCTATTTCAAAACATAATTCTTACGGAACTACAGCAACCGAACTCAAAACATAACCCTAAATGGATTATAGTAATCTATTTCAAAACATAATCCTAACTGAACTACAGTAATCTATGTCAAACATGACCCTAAATGGATTTTAATAATCTATTTAAAAAAATAATCCTAACTGAGCTTCAGCAAAATATGTCAAAACATAACCTTAACTGAAACTATATAATAACCTAATATTAACTGGATTACGGTAATCTATGTCAACATACTTAAAAAATTACTTCCACGCTACAGTGCCCTGGCGTGCATGAGATTTTCGATAACTTGGCATCAGACGGCTTGCTGAAGTCTGATGGCTTCTTTGACGCACTTCCGTTCGCGCTAAACACACTGAGCTCCGAGAACTGCACGAGAGGCGCGCTGGAGGAAACCTACCATGGCAAGCACAAGAGGAAACCCTCGGCCAAAGAGAGTGAGTACTTGTCCTTGTTACTAGCGCATTGTTAAGCTTGGAACTGACAGGCAAACGTCACGTTATGATAATTTTGGTCGGTATCTTTGATAGCGGTATTCAACTTATCAAAGCTAAATCTAAATTCTTTGATATAGTTAAGTACAGAGTTTCTTCAAGCCTTCTCTTCAGAGTGGGGTGGGGCGCTCAGGTTGCCCCTTCCCCACTCCCACCCCCGAACAAAATAGAATTTACTTAGAAAACATACTTTCACCACTGTCCGCCCCCCTCCCCCGGAAAATTTAGACCGACCCCCCCCCCCCCACCCCTAAAATATCAAGTGTCCTTCAAACCCCCGTCCTTTCCCCCAAGAGAAAAGTCTAGAAGAAACACTGGTCGAGTCCTAGACCTACACTTGACAACCAAGGAGAAGCCATATTTTTAAAGCATATCTGTAAGTTTTAATGCCACACCGCCAACAATTTTCTTTTCGTTTGTGCCTAAGATGAAGTAAAGGTCATAAGTTTCAGTGACTTCGGCATACGAGGGGATAGTGTGATCAGCTTTATGATCAGACGCCTAGAAATTTTCCGTTAGTCAAGTACCCAATTGAGCTTGGTGGCCTCATGGACGTCCTACGGGCACTAGCTCTCGGGCCAACCTTAAGACTTTCAGGATAGCAGTCTTGTGCTCTATCATCCTACCATGCCGTCCCATTATTGAATTATATTATGCATAAAATTTAATTTTTATTACGATTTTAATAATTTTACATCGTTTATATATATATATATATATATATATATATATATATATATATATATATATATATATATATATATATATATATATATATATACACACATCGTGTTACTGGAATGAACCACGACCTAACAGCCATATCTTATCTCCTCCTTCAGCATGGGGCTACAGCATCGGCTTTGTCACCCTGATCATCTTCATCTCCAACATCGGCGCCTGCCTGGGACCCATCATGGAGAAACGGTTCTTCAAACGTCTGCTGCAGTTCCTGATTGCCATGGGCGCCGGATCTCTGGCGTCGACCAGTCTGCTCGTTCTGATCCCAGAGGTGTATATTTTTTACTTCCGCTTTCTGTTTATATCAACTTCCGGTTTTATATTTGAATTTCAATATTTACACTCTAATAACATGACTTCCGTTTTCTCTTTAATTTAACTTCCGTTTTCTGTATAAAAAACAAACTTTCAAACCTCCGCTATCAACGGTTATTTATATTACTTTTCCTGCCATTGGGTTTGTTTAAAGAACTGTATTGCATAAAAGTATTGAAACTTCAACACTAATAAATTTCTATTCTTGCCCCAAAATAAAAAAAAAAAATTGGACGTCTCTATGTGTCTACGCTAATAATCGCCATACTGATTGAAAAACCAAACTACATTTTTTTAAAATAACATTCAACTAAGTTTATTGTGTTACCTGAATTAGTTCACAATTTCATACATTAACCAATTTCTTTCACATGTATTGACCAACTTCTAAAAAAATATTATTGCAGGCGTTCGGTATCATAGAAATCGAAGAAATAGGCCACGCTTATGTATGGAAAGCCTCAGTCGTCATAATTTCAATTTATATACTCTTCAGCTTAGAGAGATTGTTCAAGACTGTGTTATATAACAGAAAAGTAAGTCGAGTTTAAATTTAAAAATAACTTTAAAATGGGAAGCTGTTTGTCGACCAACTATACTGGAGAGTAGGACAATAACCCCCTGTAAATTACCCCCCCCCCGACACTATCCCGCCCCGATCCCCCTATTACCCCCTTCCGTAAATTACCCCTTGACTTTCCCCTCACCTTCTCCATAGCCCCCCCCCCCCCCTCCTCCGGAGTAAATAACGGTGGCAGGGGTAATTCTCCGGGAGGAGAGTCTGGCGTTGGGGGGGGGGGGGGTTGGAGATGTCCGGGGGGGGGGGGGTAAATGCCTAGACCCCTATACCCATACTGCAACTCGCTCTGATAAGCAGTTTCAACTCATAACCACACGTGAACACTGTAACATTAGCTAAGACTTTACACACCATGTTAGAATTAATCCCTGCTCCATCACAAAACACCACGCAGATGTTCGACGTATTGTTTTTCAGTCGGTGTAACCCTAAGCGATACCAGCTGTACCATTGCAAGGGTACGGCTAATCGATACAACAAATACATATTTATTTATTTTTTACATTTATGAAAAGAATTCTAAAATTAACTGTAATGAAATGCAAGCAAAAAAAAATTCCAATTAGTTTCTGAAAATTTCGTTAAAAATGAATCTTGTAAACGTGTGTGTGTTTTATTACTAGTAGTGAAGTGATAATTTTCAGATTATTTCCGAGTTTCAAATTTAGTCTAGTCCTAACCCAAATGTCTTCATCTTCTTCTTCGTTCTTAATTTATACTATTGGAGTAGATTTCCTCGCTCACAATTCATATTTAGGACAGATGTTGTTTGATTTTGGGGTTTTCTCTCCTAGAAGAGTTGATCCTCAGGTAACGAGCCTAATCTCTCCTGAGGTCCGAATTCGGGACTTTTTGAGTTAGCAATATAGTGCTCTTCCGTCCGACCACGCCACCACCCTCCTAAATAAAGTAAAAAATAAAAGTTTAGAGCCTGAACTGGTATTTGAATTTTCGTAACAACCTATCACCTATCTTTTTTAAGATACCATGTTTGTTTGCTGGTCGGCGTGGTTTAGTCGGTAAAGCTCATGGTTGCTAAACCGAAAAGTCTCGAGTTAGAACCCCCGGGCAGATGTGGCTCGATAACTGGGGACAACTCCAAAATCAAACAACTGCTGCGTTGTAGTTTGTTCTTGGTTGGACCAAGACTATGGAAGCAAATCCAAAAACAAAAGCAGGCTGAAATAGGAGTCAACGGCCTATATCACGCATAACCAATTGACATGTATCGGGCTGGTAAGTAGGTCACCAACCAGTTCTATGGTTCATGCAGGTTTTATTGAGCCTTAGAACTGGTTGGTGACCTACTTACCAGGCCTATACCTAATTGTGTTGTAGGGAATCCCTTTCAACACTAAAAATTAAGAACGAAGAAAAAGAATTTTGCTGTTTTAATATTTATAAAAAAAAAACACTTTAAATTAATAGTGTGCATGTTTTTATCATAGACCGGTAAGATCGGCTACTCGGCTTCGGCCAGCACCATGGACTCTGTAGCCCCGCTGACCGATATCCGGATCAACGGTCACCTTGGCAACAACCAGGACGCCGGACACTCCCACTTTCACCTGTCGACAGAGCAGTCCAACGACAAGGTCACCCTGGCCTGGATGGTCATGGCTGGTGACGTCATCCACAACTTCGTGGATGGGTTATCCATGGGCGCGGCTTTCTCTGAGGATGTTGGATTAGGGATTAGTATATCCCTGGCGATTATTAGTGAGGAGTTGCCTCATGAGCTGGGTACGATTTTATTTATTCCCTTTTTTTTTTAAATTATATCCTTTTTTTTTTGCTGTTCCAAAAAAGGATTATTTATAGCGAATCGCTTGCAAACGATACCTAAACTACTAAAATGTAACCGTTCTTTTAGTTTAAAAAGATTTTATATGTGAAAATCTCGGGGAGGTACATTTGCTCACAGTAACTAACATCAGCCTATGTTGGGAGAGGTACTGAGTACCATGTTAACAACTGACAAGAACATATGTTGGTAGAGGTACTGAGTACCCTGTTAACAACTGACATCAGCCTATGTTGGGAGAGGCACTGAGTACTATGTTAACAACTGACATCAACATATTGGGAGAGGTAGAGTACCGTGTTAACAACTGACATCATGTTGGGAGAGGTACTGAGTACCATGTTAACAACTGACATCAACATATTGGGAGAGGTACTGAGTACTATGTTAACAACTGTCATCAAAATATGTTTGGTGAGGTACTGAGTACCATGTTAACTACTGTCATCAAAATATGTTTGGTGAGGTACTGAGTACCATGTTAACAACTGACATCAACATATGTTGGGAGAGGTACTGAGTACCGTGTTCACAACTGACATCATGTTGGTATAGGTACTGAGTATCGTGTTAACTACTGACATCAACATATGTTGGCTACCGTGTTAACAACTGACTTCAACATATGTCGGGTGAGGTACTGAGTATCGTGTTAACTACTGACATCAACATATGTTGGCTACCGTGTTAACAACTGACTTCAACATATGTCGGGTGAGGTACTGAGTACCATGTTAACTACTGACATCAGCCCATGTTGAATATGATCTCAATAAACATGGACGAAGAATGAGTATTATAACGTTCCATTAAATATTTGAGTTTAACAAAGAGTTAGTGTAACGATTTATTTGTACAATTACTGTAAAACCTAAGGTTAGCATTAGGTTTTTGAATACATATAAAATCAATGCTAATACTATTTTTTATTGAAAATATGTCTTCTTGACCATATCTCGAACAACAACGGGTCTTTAAGCTAGTATCAGATTAAACACTGTTACACTAATCCATTTAAGCCTAAAGCATTCGGTTAGCATTCTCCTATTCTAATCCGCAACCAAACCTATAATTGGCTCTTTCTTTTAACAATCTCACCACTGCGTAGGCACTCACTGTTAGAAAGCACAAAGAGACAGAACGCGACCGACCCACGCAAATCTAGTCATGTATCACCCATTATTTTAATTTAAAATTACCCATCTCCTTTTCTAACGTATGTTATAACGTATGTACAGATTATATGTAAATGTGGTTGAGTTCTGGTAGAAACCAATGGGTTTTATCTGATTACGTCAAACGGCTGTCACCGGATAAAATCTTTAAATTTAGGATAAATGGGTGGAAGAGCCAAGGTATATATATATATATATATATATATATATATATATATATATATATATATATATATATATATATATATATATATATATATATATATATATATATATATATGTGTGTGTGTGTATATATATATATATGAATATATATGGTGGGCGTAAAGATATATATATATATATATATATATATATATATATATATATATATATATATATATATATATATATATATATATATGAGTGTGGAGGGGTGTTGGTGTATATATATATATATATATATATATATATATATATATATATATATATATATATATATATATATATATATATATAATTATTTATTTATATATAATTATATTTATATAATTATATATATATATATATATATATATATATATATATATATATATATATATATATATATATAATTATATTTATATAATTATATATATATATATGCACCCGTACACACGTGTTATGTATAACATCCGTATCGTATATCTGAACAGCGGATATAGCTATACTGCTCCACTCCGGCATGTCCATCAAGAGGTCACTGTTCATCAACTTCCTGTCGGCCTGTGTGTGCTACATAGGACTGGTCATCGGTATCCTCCTCGGTACCACCCTCACGGAGGCCAGCAAGTGGATCTTCGCCATGGCCGGTGGATTGTTCCTCTATGTTCCATTGGTGGATATGGTGAGGCTCTGTTCCATTATTAACCCCCCCCCCCCTGTTACATATACCGGATATACAACATTAAACAGATGCTTCTCTGATGTTAGTGTTAAAGATAAGATAATTAGTTAGATAAAAAAAACAAAGGAGAAATGGAAAAAGTGTTTCACATTTTAAATGACACAAAAAAGCTTCGACACTTTCATAATTAGAAGGTAAAAATTAATTGTCTTTAAATCTTTCAAGAAGAGAAACATAGTTTTAAACATATTACAGTTATAATGTATTGGGTGAGGGGTAATTAAGAAATTTGCTTTGTTTTATATTAACTGAATATCCTTATCCGGCCAAGCGAGTTATGTCAAGCGATGTTTGACATAATTGTAAAGGGATACAATATAGTCAGCACTATGCTCAGTCGCTTCCACCCCAAAATCAGAATGGATCCCATAACGGTCTACGGGCCCCGAACCCCAAAGCCACACAAAAAAAACGTAGCATTCGTGTAAGAACTCGTATGTAAATTAGGTATTTGATTCAGTAGTCTTTAAATATGTTTAAATTAATCTTCTACAAAATCAAAAGGCTTAAAGTAATTAAGGCAGTAAAATCATTACTTATGTTTAAATTTTAATTTAAAATTTTAATGCATGAAATAAATCACATGAAATTAGAAATGTTAAAAGGTAATTAAGTCGCGACCGTAATTAATTATGTTGAAATTTATCTCATAAGAATGTGAAGGTATAAATAAAAGAATTTAAGTCCGATAAATAATTAATTATATAGAAATAAATCATAGAAATTAGAAAAAAAAGGTAATTAAGTCATGAAAGTAATTAATTATGTTTAAATTTATCTCATATGAATGTGAAGGTATAAATAAAAGAAGTTAAGTGAGAAACATAATTAATTATAGGCCTATTGAAATAATTCATACAAATTAGAAAAACGGTAATTAAGTCAAGAAAGTAATTAACTATGTCAACGTTTCCCACATACAGTTGCCGGATATGAGTGAACACCTGGACATATTGCTACAACGAGGCGGGCCCGAGGCTAAAATTGTCGCCGGTCTGCACACGATTGGCCTGCTGATGGGAGCCGGCATCATCATCTTCATCGTCAACATCAACTCCTACATCGACGTCAACTAGAACTTCCGCTCCTGCGGGGAATGTTAACTGAAATGTTAACTTATTGAAGCAGGCTGAAGTTAACTGTATACTTTCTTGTTAAAGTTATCACAAAATTAATATAAAATATTTTTCTGCAATGAAGAATGTACTGAAAGAAAAAACACAAACTTTTATAAAGTTATGCTAATGCCTGCTACTCGCTTCCTAGTCTTTCCGATTTGGTCGTTTTGACCCGTTCTTGCCCGTTCTTGCATCTTCCACTGCTAGACTTGCCTGCTATTGCTTATTGCATTGATCTGTCATAGTTTTTGTTTTGTTGTCTGTCACAAGAAAGTCTTCAGTACTTTTTAAAGAAGCTGCAATATTCCCATGTACATTTTTTTGAAAAAAAAATGTTTTTCTTTAAATATATAATAATACACTACTATTTAATTTTAATAACTATAAAAACGTGGGTTACTATAATAATCTATTGGATACCTTTACTAATATTAGGAAGCAAGTTAAATAAAAGCTTTTAAAAATAATATTTCGGCTGATAGAAAATGTGTACTTCTATTTAATAATGACTCTGTAAAAAGATGTCGCGGATTCTTTTCCTGAATACTTTACACTCCTCCCTTCACCCCTTTCTCCTTACCCCTCATCTCTGTCTAATTACTTTTCCCTCCCACCCTCCCCACTTCCTAAAATTCTTCTTAAACTAGACTGCAGTTTAGTATATAAATATACTAGCCGTCCCGGCCAGGCCCTGCTCTGGCTTCTGTGAAAAACCTTTCTGTTAAAGACCATTACCTGTGTGTTTAGTAATCATCATAAACCCGGCATTGCCCACCCAAACCACAACCAACCAAAACAACAAAACGCAAACATAACGCTAACACAATTACAAATACAAACGAAAACAAAAACCTAACAACAAACCCAACCACAACCACAAACACCAATACAAACACAAAGAAAAAACAAACAAAAAAGCAAACGAAAACAAAAACCTAACAACAAACCCAACCACAAACACCAATACCAACAAAAAAAACAACGAAAAAGCAAACGAAAACAAACCAAATACAAACGCAAAACCAACCAAAAACACAAATACAAACCCAAACAAAAAAAACCCAAACAAAAACGAAAAAAGAAAGAACAAAAACGAACCAAATCAAAGCGCAACCACTAACGCAAACCCACCTAAACACAAAGAAAACACTAACGCGAACATAAACGCCCGGGGCGGAATCACCTGTTTTAGCTTAATGAACGACTATAGTACCCCAACTTATTCATAGTCTTTTGCACTCACTTAAACGAACGCGCCTGTTTCAATTTAATGAACAATTTTAATACTCCAAGCTTATCCGTAAAATACCTACAACATTTGCACTTGATCAATCCCCGCTAATTATGTAATTATTTTTTTTTGCCAACACCAAAACAAAGTAATAAAAAGTAAATTATTTTCCACTAATGCAATGGTTTTATAAAGGGAAGTAATTGTGTTTTCCTAATTTATCAAAGGGAAGTAAGTGCTATAGGACTAATTAAAGACATAAATAGAATTTTAGTAAAAGATGATATTTTTTTTTAAACTTGTGTTTAATGAACATGCCGACAATTATTACTATAATTTGAAAAATGAAAATTATTTTCCAACACTTTCAATAGTAATTTTTTAACTCATAAATTTAGACAAATGCGCACGATAATTGTCTAACACTTAAATCCATCCAAGACCAACGACAAACATATGCGTTACATACAGAACTGAGCTTTATATATTAGATTTGCATATAAAATATATTTAAAAGATGGCAGTAAACTTAATACTATCATCACGGCTAATGTAATTAAAGATAATTTAATTATCTGAACTAAACAGGTTCATTCACATTAATAATTAAATATACGACTAATCCAAAGGAGGCTGAACCTCATTAGAAGAAAAAATCCGCCTTGTTTTTAGTATTCTCAGAAAGACTATTTTTCAAGATTATTTTGTTTATATTTGAGGTGATCTCAAAGTGGGAATTAAAATATTCCTTCAATGTAATCTTATGCGTTGCAATATATATATATATATATATATATATATATATATATATATATATATATATATAATGTATATATAATTATATATATACAAAGTTGAACTAGTGTGTTAAAATGTTATACTCGCCTACACTATATATCCTTTTGTAATATAAATATTCAATACTGCTTTGTCTTTCTAACATTAATCATGGTGAAAATAGATCTTCTTTGCTACTTGGGGTATTTTAAGGTAGATTCTAGTTTGTTTTTAGTTGAACTCTCAATGACGTTTTGTATTGATTTGATCATGGTGTAACAGGTTCTATCTAGGCTCATTAAAGGGTGAACGGTAATCAATTTAGAATTATAAGCGGACCTACCCACTATATATATATATATATATATATATATATATATATATATATATATATATATATATATATATATATATATATACAGTTCTTGGGATCAGCGGCATCCCTAGGTCGGGTGTCGCACCATGCGTTGACTGCGGGTGTCCCAACCTTTTCAACAATTTTGCCTTTTCGCTTCAATGTCACCCGTATAACGTATTTTATTTTTTATCTGGATAAAACATTGTTTTGACAGTACATTTTGCAAATTTTTACAAATCCTGTGTGGATCGGGAACCCCCCCCCCCCCCCCGCCCCTCCCAACCCTCAGTCTGGTTATGAATAGAGCGTAAAACCCTGTCTTTTTCCTCCCAATACCCTCCAGTAACCAGGAAACGGTTACTATTACACATTTTTAATAAAATACAAATTGTACCAATACGCAAAACAATAAACAGACCTACATTTTCCACAAAACAAATTTCCAAAAAAAATTTAGCTGGTCTACCCCCCCCCCCCTTACCCAGTTACCCCCTCCCCCCCCCCCCCCTCCACCATCTCAACCATTACTACTAGATCCGAATACTTTGGATTAACAACTAATTGCCATGATGGGAAATTTATCATTGGCGTCGCCAATCTCTTAATCTCGTTGTTCTATAGGACTGGTAAGTAGGTCACCAAACAGGTCTACGGCTCAATAAAAACTGCATGAGCCAAAGAACTAGTTGGTGACCTACTTACCAGCCCTATTCCCTATTATATCAGAAATCTTCAATACTTTTTAAAAAAGGGATATGACCTACAACGTTAATAACAACGTACATTCACATATCGTCCTGTATCTGTGATATAAGGTGGGATATTTGTTAAATTATATTTTAATTAATCCCCGACACTGATAATAAACATATAAACTGTATATATATATATATATATATATATATATATATATATATATATATATATATATATATATATATATATATATATATATATATATATATATATATATATATATATAAATATATGTATATATATATATATATATATAAGGGTAAGAAAAACTGTATATCAAATGTATTTGTATATTGATACGTTTATATCAAATAGACGTACATGTAACGCTAAACGCTAAAAACAAAATATTGCAACTGTTGTTTTATTTTTAATTTCCAGATTGTTATTATTTATATTTTACAAAAGAAAAACATGACATTATTTGTTCTACGGTAAAAATGTGTCAAAGGAAGTTAACGCCCTATGTAATCAATCACTTTTATACTAGTAATTGTAAACATACAACAGGTTTCTATATTGTTGTGGATCGATATTTTATAAATGGGGTGTTAGGAAATGATTATTTTTACCGCAAGGGGAGTTAAGAGGTTAAATTTACACAATATATGAAGTGATTTAGTACTGTAGATTTCTTTGAATTTAATGTATTTAAAAAATATTTTTCTATTGACACTGTCAAGCATACTGGCCTTATTACCATTCGAAGCCTCTAGTGATTTTGTGATTATTTTTTTTAAATATTGCCTTAGTCAATTCAGTTTTAATGACTATTTTAGATTTACTTGTGCAAGGGAGACCACTAGTTTCCGCACAAATAGTTTAATGGGAGATAATTCTACAACAATGCAATAAATTGTTTGTCAAACAAAAATTATATTTCTATTTCATATTCAGCCAATTGTTCAATACCTGTTTTGAAATGTAGTATCATATATATATATATATATATATATATATATATATATATATATATATATATATATATATATATATATAATGTGTGAATAATACGATATATCTGAACTAGAAGTGCCTAGCATTCTCGTTACGTATCAACTGTATACTCTTGCCTTATCTTGGTGATATGGTTCTAATGCGAATTGATTATAATATTGTAACATGCTGTATATGCTTATATGGGGATTTACTTTAATTGTGTTCCTGTGGCATGCCTTATAAGATGAAAAATCATCTCCGGCCTGTGATTCAATCTATTGATGTATATTTATTCTGTAAATTAAATTATTATAAGAATTGTTAGTTATACCTATACTCGCCTGTATAAAAATAATTTAATTATTCATTACCGGGTTGGTTGTTTTATTGTTAAATTACTTATTAATTCTAGCATATGCTACATAAAAAATGTGTTATATGTATTATATATTGGTTGATGCAATACATTGTGTAAAAAATAAATCTGGCTTTTGTGTGTTTTTTTAAAGTACCATGTTCGGCGAGTGTGCGGTTTTGTTTGATCAGCACGACAATGAGAAATAAGAAATTAGACTTTTCCTAAATTAATCACCAATGAACCCGTTTTCGTGAAATCGTTATCCAGAAACATCTTACGATGAAACCAATCAACAAAATACACGTTATCTTGAAATAATTCATCAAAAACACACGTTACTGTGAAATAAATTACCAAATAACAAATGCTACTGTCAAATAAATTACCAAATAACAAATGCTACTGTCAAATAAATTACCAAATAACAAATGCTACTGTGAAATAAATTACCAAATAACAAATGTTACTGTGAAATAAATTACCAAATAACAAATGTTACTGTGAAATAAATTACCAAATAACAAATGTTACTGTGAAATAAATTACCAAATAACAAATGTTACTGTGAAATAAATTACCAAATAACAAATGTTACTGTGAAATAAATTACCAAATAACAAATGTTACTGTGAAATAAATTACCAAATAACAAATGTTACTGTGAAATAAATTACCAAATAACAAATGTTACTGTGAAATAAATTACCAAATAACACTTTTTACCGTAAAATCAATTATGAAATAACAAATGTTACCCTGAAACCGATCACTAAAAAATACGATATCTCGAGGTAATTTATCAAAAACACAGGTTACTGTAAAATCGATTATAAAGTAACACAGGTTACTGTGAAATCAATTACGAGGTAACACATGTTACTGTGAAATCAATTATGAGGTAACACATGTTACTGTGAAATCAATTATGAAGTAACGCTGGTTACTATAAAATCAATTATAAAGTAACACATGTTACTGTGAAATCAATTACACAGGTTACTGTAAAATCGATTATAAAGTAACACAGGTTACTGTGAAATCAATTACGAGGTAACACATGTTACTGTGAAATCAATTATGAGGTAACACATGTTACTGTGAAATCAATTATGAAGTAACGCTGGTTACTGTAAAATCAATTATAAAGTAACACATGTTACTGTGAAATCAATTATGAGGTAACAGGTCACTGAGTATGCAAGTGATCAACAATGTGTTGACACGAGCCTCGCCACGTGACACACCTCACACGTGCCGCAGCATGTTCTCAGCATAATTAGTGGATAATTAAATCAACAATAAGACAGCTGCACAACGACAGGGGGAGGTAATTAAAGCTAACACAAAGATCAAGGTTTTTAATTTTAACTAGAATACCCGTCATCCGTTGGATAACTGTGGGTTTCGGGGGTCATCCATCAAAAAACATCACGTCTGTCACTCAGAGGCATAGCGACCCTTCCCGGCGCCCGGGGACAAAGTTTTCGATTTGAACCCCCCCCCCTCAAACTTTTGATGTGCACCCCCCCCCCCCCACTCAAACTTTCGATTTGAACCCCCCTCAACCTATCAATTTATTTTTCCAAACCATTTTGGCGCCCCAACATATGTCCCCCCCCCCCGCCCCCCCCCCTTCCCCCCTCCACCTCCCCACCCCCCGCCTCCCCTTCCCCCCCCCCGCCTCCCCTCCCCCCCTCCTCCCCTCCCCTACCGTCCCCCCCCCCCCTCCTCGGTACGCTACTGCAGTGTCACTTATCGTCACAAAAAACAGACCCCACATTCAAATATATGTTTTTTATCTTTTAAAAACACCGAAAACACCGATTTCGGACTATCCCTTCATAAACTGACGTCACAGGTGACCTACTCAACTCTACTTCACCTGCCCAGTGTCCTGCCAAGTCTCAGACAACATGTTTTTATCGTTTAAAAAACAATTCCAGCCGAGCATGTATCTGACCACACTATCCTTTCATATGCTTAGGACAAAGAAACAGATGAACTCTACTTCACCTGCCCTGTATCTTGCCAAGTTCAGATAGGCAACGTTATCATTCACATCTAAAAAAAAAAAATTGAAAAAAAAAATTTCATTGACATATTGGTCTAGAACCCGTGCCTCCTGCATGAGAGCTGACTACGCTACCATTTTAGCTATTTACTCGTGACGTCACAAGTGAATTTTTATACTATACTATGTGTCTCCTTATGCAACTTGATTTACGCGTATAGATTCTAGATCTAGATCTAAAAATAAGTCTAGTAGTACTAACTTTCAAATTAAATTTTATCTTAAATAAGCCAAACAAAGATTTATATAAAATAATTAAGGCCTGAAATAGATTCTAGATGTAGAATTTACATTAAGTCTAGATCTAGAATTTACATTGAATCTAGTGACCTACATCTAGGCTAGATCTAGGCTAGATCTAATCTAGATCTAGGCTAGATTCATAAATTTCCTTCGATAGCTGATCTTTAGATCTAGAGAAATTTATCGTAAAACTAAATGAAAAAGACAGTTGAAAATTGATATAAGTGTTGGAACGTAATAAATACAGCAAACGGACGTATTGT